GCCTTTATTTTCACGGATCAGGTGGGGACTCAGACTAAGTACTACATTGATTATAATTACGGTACCATGTTTGAGGTATGTATTTCATGTCATGTATCCGCTTGGAATGGTTGCCGGTCTATTTTGGGTTCTAGTGACCCTAGTCTGCCCACTAGAGTGTGCACATGGTGTCCGACATTAGTCCTTGCCGGTAGATGAGGTAACGGTCAGGGTCACGTTTGCGTGACGATATCAGATTCATGTTCATTTTATTACCGGTTTCATGTTGAGGTTATGTATATGCCAAGATCATGATGTTGTTATTATTTTCAATGTTTACATTAGTATGAGTTTCCACGGAGCACAGTGCCATAGTGCTCATTTCCCACTTTTATCATGTTTTTTAGGTCAGGATGTCGGGCCGGGAGCGTGAGATGACGAAGGCTTCAGGACTTTTATGTTTTGATTGTATATATATTATGACGGTTTACGTTTTCGCTGATGATGGTTTTGATGAACTAATATTTTGACCGGACTTTTGAAAAACTTTATGCTTTCAGTAACAGTATGATTTTATTAAAAATTCAGATAACGGTTTTCCAAATTAAGTCACGTTTTTACGGTAGCACTCCAAATCAGTTTTCACAAAGTAAAAGATTTTATTTTTAAATAACTTTGCGAAATTTTCGCACTCTGATTTTACGATAAGGCGGGGTGTTACAGATGCTACATCGGGACATCAGCTTATGAGCTTTTTGGACGCCTATTCCGGTTACAATCAAATCCCCATGCACCCCGACGATGTTGAACATACTTCGTTTTATTCGGCCCGAGGTCTTTATTGTTATGTCATGATGACTTTTGGATTGAAAAATGCTGGGGCCACGTATCAAAGGTTGGTCAATAAGATGTTCGCTCATTTGATCGGTCGCACAATATACGTAGATGACATGTTGGTGAAATCAGAACAGGCCTCCAATCATATTGCTCATCTTTTCGAAGTCTTTGACATCCTTCGAGAATATTCAATGGTGCTTAATCCCAAGAAGTGCACCTTTGGGATTGGATCAGGAAACTTTCTAGGATACATGGTGAGCCAGAGAGGAATCGAAGCTAATCCCGCCAAGATTCAAGCCATACTTGATTTGGCTCCTCCGACATCCATCAAAGGAGTTCAAGCTTTAACCGGTCGACTAGCAGCTTTAAATTGATTCATTTCAAAGTCGACGGATCATTGTAAACCTTTCTTTGACGCCATCAGAAAGAAGAAGCCGTTTGAATGGACCATTGAATGTCAGAGTGCTTTTGATAACATCAAAGAAGTTCTTTCACAACTACCGACGTTGCAAAAACCTCTCCCCGATGAACTTTTATATTTGTATCTGGGAGTAAGTGATGTTGCTGTTAGCGCTGTTCTTATACGACAAGATGGACTCCAGCAGTTCCCAATATATTATGTTAGCAAAGCTTTACATGACGCTAATTGCGATATCCGTATATGGAGAAACTAGCTTTTGCATTGATCATTGCTGCACGAAAATTGCGACCATATTTTCTGGAACATTCTGTTGTTGTCTTTACATCATATCCTCTCCGACAAGTCCTCCATCGACCTGACACGTCGGGAAGGATGATCAAATGGGCTATAGAACTTGGACAGTTTGACATTCAGTATCGCCCACGGACTGCCATCAAAGCCCAGGTGTTATCCGACTTCATAGCAGAGTTCACCCCATCTGTTAGCACTACAATTCAGGATCCGACGTGGACTCTCTACATCGATGGATCGTCCACCGCTATACGAGCTGGAGGAGGAATCGTTTTAGTTAGTCCTGATCAACAAGTGTTTTGTTACTCTGTAGCATTCACTTTCCCGGCTACCAACAATGAAGCTGAATATGAAGCCCTCTTATCAGGTCTACATTTTGCTGAGTCCATGAGTGTTTCCTCCCTTCGCATATTTTCTGACTCTCAGTTATTAGTCAGCCACATCAATGGCGCCTATGATGTCAAGGAAACCCGATTGCTGCCTTATTTCAATCTCGCCAAGAAGAAGTTATCACGATTCAAAATGACGTTGGAACATATACCTCGATCGTCAAACATTCAAGCAGATGCTCTCTCGCGTTTGGCCTCTTCGACCGATTTGAACAATGTTGAATTTGTGCAAATTAATCAACAGACAAATTCTTCAACAGTCTCTACCGACGTCGCCATGATCGATGTTGTTTCGCCAATTCCAAGTTCAACTTGGATGGATCCAATTATTAACTACCTTCAAACTGGGACCGTGCCTTAAGACCCAAAAGAAGCCCGTACCCTTCGTGTTCGTGCCGCTCATTTCAGAATCGATCAAGGAATATTATACAAGCGTGGATATTCCACTCCGTTGCTCAAGTGCTTGTCGGAAACTGACGCCCGGCGTATTCTTCAAGAAGTACACGAGGGCGTCTGCGGTACCCATCAAGGAGCACAAGCTTTATCTCACAAGGTTCTCCGACAAGTTTACTACTGGCCGACTATCAAGAAAGATGCCGCCGACTGGGTGCGGAGGTGTCACAAGTGTCAGATATTTGCTCCCAATGTTAACCAACATCCTGAATCCCTCAAGTCGATATACAGCCCATGGCCGTTCGCAAAATGGGGAATTGATTTAATTGGTCCGCTTCCAACAGCCAAAGGAGGTGTTCGCTTTGCGATATTGGCTGCCGACTACTTCACCAAATGGGTAGAGGTTGAACCTCTTGCAACCATCACCGAACAAAAGATGATTGATTTTGTCTGGAAGTCCATCGTTTGTCGATTTGGGATACCGAACTCTATTATAACTGACAATGGTCGTCAGTTCGAAGGGAAAAAATTTGAAGACTTCTGTGAAGACTATAGTATCAAGCATTTCTTCTCGTCACCGTATCATCCACAAGCTAATGGGCAAATAGAAGCTGTAAATAAGATCATCAAGAATGGCTTGAAAACTCGACTAGAGACCACAAAAGGATCTTGGCCCGATGAGCTGCCCTATGTCCTTTGGGCCTATCGGACGACGACGCGAAACTCAACTGGAGAAACCTCGTTTTCATTAGCATACGGAACTGAAGTTGTGATACCAGTTGAACTCACTTCTCCAACATATCGAATTACTCATTTTTCTGAAGAAACCAACTTAGGAAACCTGAGAGCCAATCTTGATCTGGTCGATGAACTACGGACCGACGCTGAAATTCGAAATGCTGCTTACAAACGACGTAGCGAAACGTACATTAATTCAAAGTTCAAGCCACGCTCGTTCGTCGTGGGAGACCTCGTGTTGAAAAGAATAACCGGGGCCAATGTCGGTCCGTTGCAACCAAAGTGGGAAGTACCCTTCAAAGTGAACCGTCTGATTTCTAATGGTACCTACCGACTTGAAACTCTAGATGGTGTTCCCCTTCAGTACCCTTGGCACGC